TAATGGGCGGTCTAGGAGGCTACTGGGTAGAGCTGAGCCAAGGGGTGGGCTACTCCCACCCCTGTTGCCCAAGTCACCTCAGAACTGAGGCTCCAGCCCAGCTCCTTGCAAACAGCCTGACAACCTCAACACACCTTCCTAACCACACAAGGATGGCTGCATTTTCTGGCCGAATTCTTTATCTTTAGCCCTCATTAGAAGTGACTCCTTGGATACCACACACATATATAATATTATATAGAGCGATATATTTAATACCTGTGTATATATGCATCACAGGGGCGACATATATACACGCTAAAAACAAGGCTGGTGACAAGACTGCAACACCACGGATCGGGAACACAAGGGTCATCGACATTCGCGGCCACAGCCCCCGGGGTGGTTTCTCTCTGCTCTAGCCTCGCCACCAGCACCCGAACTGCAGTGCTGGCCTGCTGGGGGCAGGGGCAGGAAAGAGAGGGTGCATGCCACGGTAGGGGAGGGTGGGGTATGGTGGCGAGAGAAACGGGGGTCCCTCTGGCCCTGGGTGCCCATCGCCGTGTCAGTGTGAGATCAACCCTCGCGTGAGGAGAAATACACGGTGCTCCATCCTCTCCATCTCACCCCAGCCTTGGCCACTGGTTCCGTCTGGGAGGGGGCCCCACTTTTTGTGCCAATGGTGTGGGGCATTCTGGAATGTCTGGGGGAACCAAAGGAGGCTGGGTCTGCCCATGGGAGTGGGATGGAGAAGAGGAGGCACACACGAACATGCCAGACAACGGGGTGGGAGGGCCTTGGTGGGTGTGGGCAGGGGCTGGGGGTCAGCTGGGGTCCCAGGCAGCCAGCAGGGCTGAGATAGGGAGGGTTGGAACAGAGAGCCGAGAGAGTGTGTTTGGGTCTAGTGAAAAGGACCATGCTGGGTCTCCAAGAAAGAGGGGCCATGTCCCCTCCTGGAGTGGCCCATGGTGTCTAGGGTCCAGCCTCCTTTCCTTCCCCATCCTCATGCCCTTTGCCCTCTTCCCCAAGAAGTGTGGGAGGTAACTGTGCTGCTACACTCCCTGTGGCCAACTGGGGGGACTGTGCCTCTGAGAGGTGCTGACATGACCAGCCCTCCTCTGGGCTTCGCTTCCCACCCCTTGGGCTGTGCTGCCTGGAACCCTAGCACACTCCGACCCAGACTGGCCCATCCTTGCCAGGAAGCTCAGAGATTCCAGCCGAGAATTGGCCCTGAGTCTTTAGATCACTGTTCTCATCCCAGCTCTGCCTCATGCTGTGTGCTGCAGACCCTGGAGAGGTCACCCATCCTACGAGGCAAGGTGGGGGTTCGACTGGGCCATCTCTGAAGGCTCTAGGTATCTACAATCTACATTCAGCAGCCCACAGGGAGGGGCTGAGGTGGCGACATCGTGGAAAGAGCCCAACTCCTTAGTCTCCAGAGATCATCCAGCTCAGCTCCTCCGACCCTTCCAACTAAGGGGAAACTGAGGCCCCACAAGGTAAGTGACCAGTACAGTGTCCCCAGCTCCATCCTGGGGCTGCATTTTAAAGCTAATTGGGGCCTCCTGCCCTCTGTTATGTCCTGATCTGTCCCTCCTGGGTCAGGGGGAACAGGGTGAGCGGGGGCAGGGAGACAGACCCTTCTACTGCAGATTCAAGTGGGGACCCCAGGCTCCCCAGCCCTGAGCTTTGGGCCCCTTTAGGAGCAGACAGAAGTTAAAGCTGTAGGCTGAAGCTGGAGGGGTCAGCCAGGCCCCTCCCTCCCCAACCAGGAGAGACGCGGGGCTGGAGAGGGTCTGCCAGGAGGACCCTGGGCCTGCTCGGGGCTGCAGCACATGCACCTGGGGATGCACGCCTGGGCGGAGGGGTAGGGAGGGGGCTGGGGGCTGCCAAGGAGGGCGGCCCCCCACCCCCAGCGGGCTTGCCCTGGTCCTCCCCTCTGGCCCTCTGGCCCCACCCCGGCCATCCCCAGCATGTCACCCATGGCCTACTGGCCCTACTCTCCAGTGGTGGCAGCAGCAGGAGCCTCGGGGACGGCTCCCGAGGTGTCCCTGTTCTCCTGCAGCAGGAAGTTGTATCTGCCGAAGTCGTCGTCCCGCGGGCACAGCAGCATGTCCTTGCGGGCCTTGGCCAGCTTTTGCTTCAGCACCTCGCGCCGGTCCAGCCACTCGTTGAGCTCCTCCTGCCCGTGGGCGCAGCGGCACTTGTCCCCGTCCGGGCAGGCCTTGCCTTTCTGGAGCCTGCAGGTGGCAGGAGGCTCACTGCCCACGCTCTGGGCCCTGCAGGCCTGGGCTGCACCCGACCCCCTCAGCACAAGCCTCTTCTGGCAGCTTCGGTCCCAGTCTGAGAACCTGGGTGACCCAGCCCTCTTGGGGACAGGATCCAGGGCTGCAACGTCAGGTTCTGGGCAGGTCCAAGCCCTCCAGCCCAACCTACCCTGCCATGCTGTCCTCACATCCAGGACACAGCGCCCCGGGCACACCACCCATAGGCCAGGAGGCACCAGCGCCTGTCAGGGCATAGTCTCCTCGGACGCCCCCCTCCTGCCCCAGGCCCCAGCATGCCTGCCCATGGCCCTGCCCTCCCAGGAGCACCTGTCACAGAGCCGGAACTCGCCCATGGGGAAGCGGTAGGCCCAGCCGCTGGCATCGCTGTCGGACGTAAAGACCTTCTCCTTGTGCTTCTCGGACTGGATGTGCTGTTGCCACTGCTTCTTGCTGTTGCTGTTCTTGCCGCAGAGCCAGCAGTGGTAGCCCATCTGGAGGCACGGCCGCTGTGGGTGCCAGCTCCTGGGGCCTCGGCCCCACCCACCTCCCTCAGCTCCCTGAGCTCCAGCCCTGGGCCCCTCCAGGCTGGCCCTCCCAGGACAGCCCGGATGTGGGGGGCATTACCATGATGTCTGCGTAGTCCGTGGGCATCTGGATCTGCTTCTCCCCTTCCCGAGAACTGATGGGAGTCCCTTCCCCGGGCTTCCCCGGGTTGTGCTTTTTCAGCCACATGTCATAGGTCTGCTGCATGTCCAGGACTGGGCAGGGGACGAGGTTAGAGGTGAGGGGGCTTCTCCATTCGATCTGCCCCATGGTCCCCATGGGGAGCCATGGGTATCCCTGACCCAGTCAATCATGGAAGCCCCAGAGAGGGCAGGGCCTGGGGTGGCTGGAGAAGGCCCAGGTGGCCACAGGAGGCCAAGCAGGCACTCTTAGGCCATCGAGGATTGGGTGTCTGGCAGTGCAGGCCCCAGGTGAGCCCCCTTGCCCGTCGGCCACTTACTCTTGTTCTCTTTCATGAAGGTCCACATGTCCCTCTCCTCGGGGCTGTGTGCAAAGGAGCAGTTCCCCACATACTGACACTTACGGCCGTTCTGTGCGTGGATGCAGAGCTGCGGGTAGGCAGGGTAGAGCCCACTGAGTCCCGGGGTGGCGGCCTGCCAGGCCAGCCCACAGCCCGTGCCCTCCCAGCCCGCGCTCACGTCGTACTGCTGCGGGAAGTTGCGAATGGATGGCAGTGGCCTCACCGACACCCACTTCCTCTTGGCCTTGGACATTACCAGAAGGACCCGCCGCTCCTTGGTCCAGCTGCAGGACAGAGAGGGTGCCAGTCGAGGAGAGGCCGGGCCAGGAACCTCCTCAGAGAGCACTGGTCTCTTTGCCCACGGAGGGTGGTGGCCCTATTCTGCCCAAGCACCCGCCTGGCACCACTCACCAGTGCCGGGCCTTGGCACTGCAGTACTTGAGGTCCTTGTCGGGCTCCACCACCTGCCCGTTCCTCCAGCACTGGCCACACACAAACTTCATCTGTAGGTCAAAGGTGCTGGGCCCGTGTGCTCGTGGGGCACCCTAGGGAGCGGGGAGAGGAATTGGGGATGCTGCAGGCACAGGCCTGAGGCCCTGGGGTCACGTGGATGGCCTCTGGCGTGCTAGGGCCACCTGAAGCCGAGGATGGGTTTGTCCACTCCCTGGTTTACATCCCACCTGCAGCTCCCGGTGCCTCTTCCTCCTCTAGCCGGCGCTTACCGCAGCCCTGCCCTGGAGGCCTGCTCTAGTGCCCCGCATTTCCTAAGGCAGGCCTGCAGTGCACTGCTCTGCCCTTGCCCGTGGTTCCCTCTGCCTGGAATGCCCTTCCTCCATTCTTCACCCAGTTTGCCCTAGAAACTACCTTTCAAGACTCAGCTCAGGTACCACCGCTTACAGGAAGCCTTCCCTGGGATGCTCCTAAGTCATAGCTGTCCGTCCTGTGAGCTCCCACAGTCCCTGAACTACCTCGAGTTCATTGTTAGGGTGCTGGGTCACGCCCATGGCAGGGGTCTGCCTCAGGTAGCCTGGACTCGAGCCCCTCCCTCTGGGGCAATGTCTGGCTAGTCTCAAGACCCCACTCACCACATTCCTTCCCTGCCATCTGCTCTGCAGGCAGGAGGAATAGTCTGGGGGTGAGAGGAGGGATGCGTGCCCCCACCTGCTGCTCTGTGAAAGCACCAGCTGCCCCCCCCCGTCCTCCTGGGGTCTCAAGTCTGGGGTCAGCCCTCAGGGCACCATCTCTCCTCCAGGCTCCCTATGTCACTGCTGGTCAACCTCTGGCCTGGTCCAATGTGGGAGGAAGGTATTACCCCACATCGCAGAAGCGGTAAGTGGGGTGCCTTAGCCATGCCGATCTCTGCGCTCCTAACTCAGGCCCAGCCCTTGCACACACATCAGCCCCTGCTGCTCTGTGAAAGGCCCAGCTGCCCCCCCCCGTCCTCCTGGGGTCTCAAGTCTGGGGTCAGCCCTCAGGGCACCATCTCTCCTCCAGGCTCCCTATGTCACTGCTGGTCAACCTCTGGCCTGGTCCAATGTGGGAGGAAGGTATTACCCCACATCGCAGAAGCGGTAAGTGGGGTGCCTTAGCCATGCCGATCTCTGCGCTCCTAACTCAGGCCCAGCCCTTGCACACACATCAGCACGGGTCTCAGCAGCTCTTTGCCACAGCCCATGCAGAAACAGAGGCTCAGAGAGGTTGCCAACCCACCCATGGGCAAGTGGCATGAGACTGGAGGTGGGCTTCTTGGTGGGAGTGTAGAGGTGCCACAGGCACCTGTACCCCTCCCTGGCCTCAGGTGTACTGGCTGCATCCTCGTTGGGAAGTGAGCAAGAGCCTTGGACCCAGGTCCCAGACAGGCCTAACACAGAAGCCCCACCCTTGGCTTCAGATGTTGGGCAGGCAAGGTGGGGCTCCTGGCCGTGGAAGTGGGAGGAAGCCCCTCATGGCACCTTGGGCACTAGGCCTACAGCCCATCCCTGAAGGTCGAGATGAGAGGGAGGTGAGGTGGTAAATGCTCGGTGTTCTCGCTTTAGAAGGTCCTACCAGAAGTAACCATGCAGGTAGGGGAGGGGAAAGATGACAGCACAGGAGAGGGGTGGAGGGGGGGGAAGAATGGGAAAGATCCGGAACACGGCTAAGGAGAGAAGAAAGGCTTGAGGGGGTGGGAAACCCTGCCAGCCAGCCCAGCCCAGGCCTACTTCGGCCAGCCTGTCCTCCTTCCTGGCTCCTGGCCACACCCAGGCTGGTCTCATGAGGGGTCGAGGGGTCCTGGCTCCCCCCAAGTTACCAATGGGGAACTGGGATGGCCATCCCTCATGCATGGACGCACGGAGGCCTTACCTCACTCTCACCGTCTCCTGGGCCCTGAGACCCCCTCTGAGCCCAGTATTCCCACTGTTGTCTGCTTACAGTGACCTCACCACCTCAGGAGTGGAGGAGCATGGGGTGGGGAGCGGCAGGGTCCTGCACAAGGTGGGGCTTGCATGTTGTAGCTCAGGCTGGCTCCTGCGAGCTCATGCCTGCCCATTTTTCTTTTTTTGAAGAATTATCTATTGATAGGACCCACAGATGGCATAATGATTACATTGCTGGAGTCCTATGGGTTGACTGCGGTTCGAGTCCCAGACTCAGTGACTTGAAACTCACGCAAGGAGTGTGTGCGTGTGTGCCCAAAATCCCGAGAGGAGAATGGAGGAGAAGAGACTGTGGCATAGTCAGCCCCCCAGGGGATGATTTCTCGCCTTCCGTTTCTCTGTTACTCCAGTGTTCACATGTGCCCTATAGCAAAAATCTCTCTCTC